CTCACAGATTTATAATTCTTATCTATCACAGCAATAAAAGATAATGTCCTTATCTTGACCTTAACTGCCATGGAATCTCAACAAAAATAGAACGGAATGTCATGTTTCTTTAATGTATTTTTTTGGGTGGGGGGGGGAATCTTAGTAAAAGATTCAGCTTATATCTATCAAATGATCTTAATCTATGGAATTTACAATGCCAAAGCATGAACATACATTTATATTTGGACTTCTATACACAGTAGGATCTACAGTACTAAGGCTCTAAAATGGTAGACAGGTTAGGTTTTTGTCCAACACATTATTTAATGGATTCGGTTATATAATTTGGTTGAGGTGATGCCTTGGACATCAGAATATTACTCAGTATAAGGAAAGTTTAGTTTCAAAGCAGGTGTGACTTTCTACATTGACAGGACATACTGCATCTTAAAGTTTCCAATAGATAGCTGTGTTTTTCCTTCTACTCTGCTAGTCCATGAAACATAGTACCCTAGAGAAAAAAAATCTGAGTTACAATCCCAGTGCTGTCAGAACCAACTGGGTGACTGTGGACAGTTAATTCACCTTTCTCAGTATTGATTTTCTCATCCATAAAGAGAGTGATTCAGACTAGATGAGTTCTGAGACCCATGATTCCTGTATTTTGACTTCCCAACGCAACCTAAAGTATAAAAAACAGACTCCTTCCCTAACTTTAGAACTTTCCTATCTTTCATCTCATAAGCTTGACCAGGCAAGTGACTTATTCTTTAGCACATGGCTGTCATCATCATTCAAAATCCATTGCAACCTCTAAAGGATAGTTCAACTTCACAGCTGTGGCCTCCAATTTGATAGTGACAGCATTATAGGAGGAAATTATTTCTCCTAACCCAACCAATTGAGCTGTGATTGCAGGCAAAATTATTTCAAGGAGCTGCCCATGAAGATAATGGGGAGATGCCTGCAGCTCCTGTTAATCATCAGCACTTCACGCACTGAGGCATTAATAAGTGCAGTCACTGGTAATCAGGGCAGACAGCCATATACTCCTAGGGCTAGGAGAAAATGACAGGAGGATGACATCTACTCCACGGGAGAGGTCAAGAGACCATGCAAGAGGCTTCTGGAGAGGCAAAAGGCCCTGCAAATGAATACTATCATTATATCCCCCAAGGAGGGGAAACAAGGAATGCCCATGTTATTAGCAAGCATCTCCACTGGATGCTCACAGTGAGGAAAAGACCCACTCCCATCCCTCCTTTCTAGCACAGGTCTGAAGAGTGCTAGGGTCCCTCGGCCACAACCCTGACAATCCTCCCCAGTCATAGAGAATTTGTTCCTTAAAGATCACGTCACTTCACACACAACAATCAGCATTCCTGAGATGCCTTTCATCTTGTTTGACAGATAGAGAAAACTCAAGTCCAGAAAGGCTCACGTATCTTTCATACGAGTTTTGTGTAACAGGGTTTAGCATTCAAAGTCCTGGCCTGGGAAGGAGGAAGCCTGTTTCTAATCTCAGTGGCATCACTGATTCGCTGTGTGACCAAGGGTGATTTACTTCCCTGGGCCTTTTCTTTCTTCAAGTACAAAATTGAGTCAATATTAACCATACAAGGATATTATGAGGAAAAAAGGAAAATCTATGTTAAAGTGATTTGGGCCATTCAGAGTTAAGAAGCTCTTCATACCCATGTAATAATTACAGCAGAACCCAGTTACAAATGGGTCTTGGAAAACAAAGCAACTTCTGAGTTACATAACTTCTTCATGAGCCAACAACAAAAGTATAATGGAGTGGGTAAGAGCGTGAGCTCCACGGTCAGACCCTCTGGGTTCAGTTCTGACTCTATTACTTACTGAGTCTTTACACACATTACGTGCCTTAAGGCCCCATTTTACCTCACAGGGTTGCTGTGGGAATAAAATTAGATCATTCATATAGAGAGCTTCGAACAGCCTCAGGCATATAGCAACTAATCAAAACAGGTTAGATATTATTATTTGATGTAATATGAGGCTGGAACTTAGATAATCTGGAGTATAGAAGCATAGCAGGTATCATGTTATACTCCTTCAATATTTTGCTATCTAGCTTCTGGTGAAAGCCCAGTTGAAAAAAAACTTAGCTCAAGGATACAACTCCCAAGGTGGGAGCCACACTGGCTATCTGTGTGAGTGGCCCAAGGAATTCACAGGTACAGAGTAATAGCTGTGCAGGGAGCAAGGTCGAGGGAGGCCCTCAACCAGGAAAGCTGAGACACCTGACCCATATTCTCAACCAACAGAGGTGGTAACCCTTTCCCCATGTGAACTGTAGGGTGATGATGACATCTCATTAGAGGTCATGAGAAATGTGCCATGGGCATATACACAGGTGATATGATGTGATGTGAAACAGCAATAACCAAAGTCCCGACATAACAAGGATCTCAGACAAAGTTTTTCTACACACTGTGACCAACAGGAGGGCTCTGGAGAACATCCACATCTGCGGGCTTCCAGTCAAGAGGCCTCCCTATTGACTTCCAATGACCCAGCAACATCTCCGCAACACACATGTCCTCTACAGTCCTTTCCCCATCGCCCGCCACTTCTGAAACATTCCTATGATTTGCCAGTTAAAACTCCTTCCCAAGTTAACCATTATCTCTTGACATTACAAGTGCTTTATAAAAAAGGTAAATCACCACGTTTGGAGGCTAAGCAGGGCAAGCAAAACCTGGCAGATGTGTTCCCCAGCCCTCCTCCATTCTGGCATCCTTCGCTGAACAATTCACTTCCCTTTCTTAGCTTGGAAACTGGCCTTCCCACCTACAGCTCAGCAGCAACGGGGTTCAACGCCCAGGCTGACTGGAAACAATCCCCTCAGCTGCATGGCTCCAGGCCAGGAAAGGGCCTGAGAACCAACTCTATGAAGAGCTAGGGTCTCAGGAGGTGAGGGTGAAAGGGGTATAGGAAACAAGAGCTAGATATCAGAATTCGCTGTAAGAGCTGCAAGCTGACATGACAGGGAACCAGATGACTACTCCTTTTCACGGATAATGGGAACTCCATTCTGTGCTTCACTTCAAGATCAAAGTTCCAAGTGAGCACTGCTCTTAAACTCAGGTTTTGTCAGAAGTGGATGCCCCCACTGTGTCCATATTGCTACGTTAGATCTGATGGCAAGGCAAATATAATATAATGGTCCTCTTACCTAGGTTTCCTGCTCAAAATTCTTTTGTCCTGCATGTCTTCCTGGTTCTATTCTAGCCAGTACCTATTCATGAGAACTCAGAGAAGTCATTTAATCTCTCTGAGCCTCAATTTATTCATCTGTAAAATTGGGAAGGGAAAATTACATGTCTTACCTTCTTTACAAATGTGTTATAAGGATAAAATAAGATTAACTATTAAAGAACCTGGCAAATGATTATGTGTTATTTGTAACGCTAATAAATTCCAAGGTCCACATGGTCCAGTCTTTGTACAAAACTAAAGTCAGAAGCACAGTCAAATACTCAAAATAAATTAAAAGGGAATTCCAGTCTTTTGTTGCATCTGTCAAAGAACATTACAGATGATCCAATTCATGACGATCAGGAACACTTTGTATTTCCTTTTCTCTCCTCCCCAGGTCCCCTACACAAGGCCACATATGAGCCTTTCACTCTCCCAAACCCTAAACTTTCTCATCTCCAGTGCCTATGGCTTTTCCTTCTTTCCCTCTTCCTACTCCCCTTTCTATCAGTTCCTTAATGTAGCTTGACTTAGCCTCATTTACGTTTTTTTCCCTCTCAGCTATACTATTATCTAGATGTGAAGTCTGGCGAGTTACTCTTTTATTCCTGCCATCTTTCCAGTTGTAGCACTTTTCATCCAGCTCCATGATCTGCATTTAAAAAGCCTGGAACAGGGTGGGTAAGGGCACAAATCTCCATAGAGGAAGAGGCTGAGTTAACAAAGCATAATTCTCTTTGTGGAGCTAGGGTAGGGAATAGGACACCTATCAGTAAATCTGGAGCCTGGCATGTGCTATTGACAAGGTACTTGACAAGGTACCTACATATCTATTAAAGAGGCCTGAAGATAAAAGATGCATAAAATGAAGTTCTCGTAGAAAGCCAGGTTTAGTAGTTTGTTTGTAGAATGGTGGACTTATTAGGGTCCTTAGGGGCACAAATACAGTGTTTTCCAAAATCTCCTCTGCGGAAAAATAGTTCCCAGGATATTAACACATATTACATGGAAAAAATATGGTTCCATTGTGAAATTATTTTGGGAAATTCTGGGTTAAACAACATGTTCTTTATCAGACCTTCTCAGCAACTTAAATCAGGTAGTTTTAACAGGAAACATTTTGGCTGATAAATGTTTTACAGAACACATTTAGGAAATGTTGATTTTGATGATTCTTTTCATTTCATAGATGAGGACACCGAGACCTACACAATGTCACTCAGGGTTCCAGTGAGAGGCAGGGCTAGATTCTAGGCTTCTAAAACCCCAGTTGTGTGTGTTAGACTCCTGGGGAAATGACATTAATATAAAGAATGCCTCTTCAGAATCCTCAGAGTTGCATTTACTTGAGTATCAGGGTTGCCATACCAAATAATCACCCAGGATAACCAACATCACACACTGAGTCTAAACCGGACTCCATGTGTATTCATATTTTGTAGCCCACTAATCAATATACAGAATTATGATGAAGGGTCTCCTTAGTACATGACAATGCTTTTTTCCTACTCCAGGGCTAAGGTTAGCATCACTCCTGGTGCCGTTTAATTGCTCTCATCCCAGAGCACATAGTCAATGGTCAATCCCTCTCCAATTATCTGTATGTAACTAAGTACAAAGTTCAGATGATGCTAAAAGAGAATTCCATTATATAGGAGCAATGACAGACTACTGAGATAGTTGCCCCATGTCAGCATTACAACAGCCATCTTCAACAGGGAGACGGGCCAATGTTGGGGGTGCTCTGGATCTATTACAGGAAAATAGCAGATGGACGGCGACCGCCTCTTTACCTTCTTCTTTGATTTAAAGACGTTACACCTGAAGATATTGCTGGCTCCATCTCGAGCGATATAGCTGAAGATCTTCAAGTCTTGGGAATCATGAGAGACATAGAAGATCCTAAAGGAAGAACAACAAAAAAAACAGAAGGCATTGAAAATGGCCTTAGGTTCAAATCTCTAACCAGGAAAGCTCTGTTTAAGGATACTCTGAAGCACAGCTCATGAGAGCCAAGTTATTACAGAAAGTCTTCTTCCTCTGGGATCAAAAAGTCACAGTGCAGGAGGCACTTTCAACAGGTTCCACAAACACTAACACTGCGACTTTCAGATTTGGTACAGTGGAAACGACACTATTGTTAACCATTTCCTGAGGTGGCCAACCTGTCCCTGTAACTTGTGTGTTAGAAGGAAAAATCACTCCCACTCTTATCAGAGCAACAAACTTGCTTCTTACTCAGAAAGATGCACACACGTTTTCTGATGCCTGCTTACAATTATCCCCAAATGCAGAGACTTGGGGAACCAGCAATGCTTACCACCTTGGGAGGGACTAAGATACTCTTAGTTCCTTTGGTGATAGTGATCCCACTCTCTGTCCCCTCTCTGCCTGGACCACAGCATCCATGTGTTCATTCCATGATTCAATCAATGCCACTGAGTGCACACTGCAGGCCAGGCACTATCCCAGCAGCCAGGGACCCAACAGGAACAGGACAGAAAAAGCCCCTGAACCCATGGAGCTTACATGTAGGCAATGACAATAAGCAAATATAAAATAAGTGCTATGAAGAAAAATAAGGCAGATTAAGGGATGGAGCATGATGGGGGCTATTTTAGACAGGGTAGCCAGGGAGGTCTCACTGAGAGGCTGAGATCCGAATGGGGGAAGGGAGTCAGTCACTGAGATACCTGAGCTAAACCATGGCAGGAAGTGGGAACAGCAAGTTTACAAGCCCTGCAGTGTTCAGAAGGTGTTAAAGGCATTCAAGAAACACCTAGGGAGGCTCAACGGAGTGTGGTTCAAGTGGAGTGAGCATGGTCAGCAACCAGGTCATAGATGCAGCCAGAGGCCAAAACGTAGAAGGCTTTGAAGGTTGTGGCTTATATTCTACGCGAGATGAGAAGCCATCAGAAGCTTTTGAGCAGAGGACTGACTTGCTTATGCTTTAAACTAAAGGATCATTCTGGCTGCTTGGGGTGGGCAGAGGTAGGGAGAAGGGAAGGCCGGAGAAAGGGGGAAAATTATAAGCAAGGCCCTAGAGGCTGCATCTTAAGCTGGCTTAGGACAGGGCCCCCCGAGCCTCCAGGTCTGACTGCTGTGGGGTCGGTGCAGGGAGTTGGGGTGGGTGCATCAGTGGAATTAGTTTTGGGCAGTCCAAGGAGAGTATTGCTCTTGGTAGCACCTAAGAGGCCACATCATTTCCACAAAACATTTTTCACCACTAACAACACTGATGGCTTTCATTCAAGCATTTAACAGGCCTGATTTGTTTTAGTGTAGGTCTGTGCTGCGCAGAGGAAAGAGAATGGGATTTAGAGTCGGCAACTTCATCAACAACTCTGCCACTTACTAAAAAGTAAGCTATGTCACCCCTCAGAGGCTCAGTTTTGTTATCTGTACAATGGGACTACTAATAGTAACACTTCCAGGAGTTACTGAGGAGGTAGAATAGTTAGTAAAATGCCATCTTACATCCCCTTACTGATGTAGCCTCTAAACAGCCTAGTAACTGAGATTCTTGCCGCAGGACCCCAAGAAGCCCGGGAGGTAAATTCAAAAGAAAGGTGGGCACAGAGAGGAAAACAATACTGTGAAAAAGCCCAAGTTCACCTTGGGGACTGCAGTTTCTCTGCTAAACTCAGCTAGCAGGCATTTCAGTACATCTCACAGGTCTATCATCTCTAAATGAAATAGAGGCTGTTTAGTGTGGTTTCCAGTCCCTATCCTTCTAATGATGCCAAACTGTCTTCCTAACATCAAAGGGACAAATCAACAATTGTATCTCAGCATCTCCTGCCTGAGTTCCAGGCCCATTCAGCCAACTTTCCTGGACATCTCCTCCTGAATGGTTCTCAAGCTTCTCAAATTCCTCATACACCTGAGTGAATTCATCATATTCCCCAAAATTCCCCAAGTCCCATCTTGATAAGGGGACACCATACCTACTCAAGCCAGAAACCCAGGTGTCATTCTCAATGGCTTCCTCCACTGTTCCCCAATATCCATCACTCATGAGCAAGTTCCTTGCAGACTCGCTCCCTAATATGTCTCTGGTTTATGTTTTTCTCTTCAACTCCAAGGTATTGATCATCAAGAGTTCTCATTTTTCACTTGGATTTTTACGACATCCTCTAAACAGTGTGCTGCTCTGCTTCCTAACTCACCTATTGTGAACCCATTCTCTACCTTGCTAGCAAAGTGTTATTTTTGAAAAGACAAATTACATCCCATCATTTTCCTCTTGAAGCCATCCAAAGGCTTCCTACTGCTTTTAGGATAAAGTCCAAACTCCTTAGCATGGTGTACCTACCTTTCCGGGGTCATCTCCCTTCAGAGTCCTGACCTACACAGGCCTGCAGAACTAGGCGTGTGCATTTTTCCAACTCTGCAACTGCTGTGAACACCTTTGGCGGCCTCCAAGACTTGGTTCAGAGCAGCCTTCCCCTCCCTTTTCTTCAGTAGTCTGAGTTGCTGAATACCCTGGGGCTCAACTTTGCCACAGCACATATCTCACACTATGATGTTTTTATATGTGCTCCTTGAAGGAACAAGGAACCCATCTCGGTATCCCCAGTGCCAGCACAGTGATTGGCACTTGGGAGGTTCCTTGCCTGCTTAGAAGGGAGGGAGGTGTTCCAGCTGTCATTAATGAGCATCTAAAATGTGATCTGCCTGGCTATTCATTTTCCCCAAGGAAGTCAGATCCAGTTAGTTCAGCATCACACGTAAAACTTCATGGATTCTTTAGTTAATTTATTCTTATGTAATACCCAAAGGACTGAGAACTGGATTTAAAACTGATACAGCAGATTTGAATGCAAACTGGCATGCCCACAAGACAGAGATGTGGAAGGAACAGAGGAACGGCACTAAGCCAAGGTTAACTTAACCTTAACAGATAAAGCATCTTTTCAGAAAATCTGAAAAGAACTGTACAGGGATGCAGCTACTGCCTTTGGACCACAGCTCTCTGGAGACTGCTCTGCTATGTCTGATTTCAGAAACTTAGCATGTTGTTATTAAAAGTAAATAATCTCTAGCTAACCAAAAAGTCAGCTAGTTAAAGCTTAGAAAAGTTTCCTCCAACATAACCAAGAGGCAGAAAGTTTTTCCATGCGACCTCACTCATCAACAAAATAATAAATCAGCAAATTAAGGTCTCTTGGGCGCAAATTTCCAGATCAAGAAATATATTCCAAGAACCCTTATTTCTCCATTACTTGGTTTTCTTAAGCACTGTGATTATGGGGGTGGTAGAAACTGGGGGAGAGTAGAGGAAGGTGAGTGCTCAAGAGAATAGGACAGATTTCCCTTTTTCTTTCCTTCTTCATCTTTATCCTTAAGTCAGTCTAGGGTAGTTCTGATAATCCTGCTTCCAAAAAGTACCTTAGTCAATTTTCCCAACTTTCACTGTAATTATAAAGAGGAGGATACCAAAATGGTTCATATAATGTTAATAAAGTTTTATAAGGTTTTATTCCCCCTTCAACTTTCCTAAAATTTCTTCTCCTTTAAATTTCTTTTTTCTTTCTCTCTCTCTCTTTTTTTTTCTTGGTGAAATCTTGGCTCACTGCAACCTTTGCCTCCCAGGTTAAAGTGATTCTTGTGCTTCAGCCTCCTGAGTAGCTGGGATTACAGGTATGAGCCACCACAGCTGGCCCTAAAATTTCGTACTTTTATTTCAAAATGTGTACAGCATTATAATTTTTACTTACTAACAGAACTGTTATGCTTTTACACAGTAATAAACCTTTCTGCAGATGCATGATATGTCCACAGAACTTACCATAAATGACTGAAAGAAAAACATCTGGAAGAAACGGGATTTTGGGTTTATCATCATGCTGGAATTTAGGTGGACAACGTGATTTTAAAAACCACTAGACTCACCACCAATACTCCCCTTCTCAAACTATTCATCTATAGGTAAACTCGCTTCTCTCAAGATCATAGAAAAACAACAACAACAACAACAACAATTTAGGGTAGAAAGAAAGCTGTGGGGTCATCAGGCCTGGATACAAGCCAGCAGCTCTGTCTGTCAGGATTCATCACTGATAGGCAATTCACTCTCTAACAAAGTATCTGATCCCTTTTTAAGTGGTTCTAGTTACCTGGAAATTTTCCCTCATGTTGATTGGAATTCTGCCAACAGGAATGCAGTGGAGGAAAATGGCTGAGAACACTGGCCCTGAGCGGGACAGACCTGGATTTCAGCCCAAGATTTGCCACTTACTAGCTGGGACACCCTGGTCATTATCTCAACTCCCTTCTTGTTCTTCACCTGTGAAACAGGCACAATCATTGTGCTGTACCTCACTCATGCTAGTAAGGTTTAAAGAATGAATGTGTGCAGAGGGGTCAACTTATAGCAAATGGTTAATAAATGTGAACTGCTCTAATTACTGCCACACTACTGCTCTAGTTCCATTCATAGGGATCTAAGAGAACAAGGCTAGTCCTCTTCCAAATGGCCCACATTTTAATATATGGAAAAAACATCATGTTTATATTTACTCCTTTCTTTTTTAAATTTATTTTAAGTTCCGGGGTACACGTGTAGGATGTGCAGGTTACATAGGTAAACGTGTGCCATGGTGGTTTGCTGCACCTATCAACCCATCACCTAGGTATTAAGCCTGGCATGCATTAGCTATTCTTCCTAATGCCCTCCCTGCTCCCCGATTCCTCTGCACTCCTTTCATTTTTAAAGTGAACTACTTCTTCCTTCAATAGTTTCTCAACTGGCCCATTTTCCAAGTTCCTTATTTCTCTGGCAGGTTTGCATTGTGGAAAGAGCATGGGTTTGGGGATGAGAAAGGTTCAAGTCTTAGTCTTAGCTTTGCTATCTTCTAGCTGTTGACCTGAGGCAAAAAAACTCAGTTACATAATCCTTC